GGTGGTTACTGCTGTGAGCCCAACTTGCAGGAAAAGTCTGTTCATTACAAGTAATTCACAGCCATTTGGGGCCATGAATAATGAACACTGTTCATGCTGTAGAAATTAGTTTTGTTGTTGTTGTTAAGAGATTAGTTTGTAGGTATGGAATTTAGGTGTTTATTCAAAAGCTGTCTACCAAGAGTCACCAAGGGTGCTGTTAAATGTCTGGATAGAAAAAATGATTCTTTTAGGAAATATAAATTTTTATGAGTCTAGTTCTTGGTGTGGCAATGTAGGATAAGCACTGAACTGATAACAGCAAGGCCAGTAGCTCTGGAAACCTATCAGCTGCTCTGGAAACCCTTTGGAGGGTCACTATGAGTTAGAACCAGCTCAATGGCACTTACCTATAAGTGCCTGACTGTGCTGGTCTATGTGTTGTATCCAAATATAGAATAACTAGTAACAGCATGAATCTTTGAGAGAGAGAGAGAGAGAGCAAACAGGCAGATACATAGAAATGTGCCGCATTTCTAGATGGAAAAACTATCCTAATTCTTCCCTTTAATTTGTTTATTTAGTTTATTTTCAGTGAGGGAAGTAATATTTTCTAATACATGTTTTGAGGAAACTGATTATTTGTTTGGGAGCAAAAGCTTATGTTCATTCCCAGTGTCATGTTAGCATTTCTACTAGCCTACAAGGGCATCAGTTCAAACCTACCAGCCACTCCTCTGAAACCCTATTCATGATGGCACTTAATAACAGCAACAACATTAACCATTCTTAAGCAAAGGCTGTAGGAATAAAAAATAAACTGTTATCTGTAAATTTAAATATACATTTATGTTGTTGTTGTTAAATGCCCTCAAGTCAGTCCCAACTCTCAGTGACTCTGTACAGGGTTTCCGAGGAGCAGTCCTGTGCTTATCCTATAGAGCCACACCACAAGTCCATACAAGTATGTTCTTGTTGGTAAGTGCTGTTGGGTCAGTTCCAACTCATAGTGACTCTGTGTAGAGTTTCAGAGGAGCAACTGGTGAGTTTGAACTGCAACCTTGCAATTCACACTGAACTTGCAGTCCAGTGTTTATCCCACAGTGCCACACCAGAACTCCTTATAAGAGGATGTTTTTCTGAATCTTCTACTGCCCTGTGTGAGGACAGCTAGTTCTAAAATTCACAATGACGTGGCCAGGGAAATAATAAATCAATGTTTAAGAAACTACAGTGTTTTATATTAGGGCACCTTGGCAGTATAGTGGTTAAGCATTTGGCTGCTAGCTGTAGGGTTGGTGTTTGAAACAGGCTTGCTGCTCCATGGGGAGCACAGTCTGCAGTCTTGGAGACCCTGTGGACAGTTCTACTCGGTCCTGACACACTAACTATGAGCCTGAGTACACTCAATGGCAGGGGGTTCTTTTGTACCATTCTCTTAGTTATTTTCATTCACTCTGGTTACTTACTAACGAATGAAATTAATAAAAGCTGGTATGTAATAAGCTTCAGTCATACGCTTTCCTGTGCCTTTAAAATTGTTAACTGTTGCTCATATTGATTATGTATGCTTTTAAAAAGTAAAAATACTGCTTGCCTAAGTGTTCAAATCAACCCCTCTCCTGTCTCTTCCATTTTGGGGGGTAGGGGGATGCAGGAATTATCTTCTCATATATTTTTTTTTTCACAAACCTTTCATTTTCTAAAGGTCTCTTGTGTTTTTTCTACTGGGACAGTTACTACCATCAAACTTTAAAATACATAGAAGGATTTTTGTGTGTGTGTATTTTTTAAATCTTTATTTAAGAATTTGATAGACATTTTGCTGATAGTTTTAGTTTGCTCTCAGGAGACAGTGTCTTCTTTTGAAAGTCCACATGTGGGAAGTTGGAAGGGAAGGGAAGGCAAGGCTGAGCTGATTAGAGTGCGGTACCTGCTGAGGTGGGAGTTCTGAATTTTTGAAGCAGCAGTTGGTACACGTGAGTGCTTTCCTCCATCAACTTTCCAGTGGCTCAGGTGTAGTTGCTAAGATTGCGAGAGCTGACTTTATTTGGGTTGGTGCTTTAAGATACCTTCATGACTGCAGAGGGATAGAAAGATCTGTGGGCCACTGAATGAGAGGTTGGACTCATCTGCTTGGTTTAGACAACAGTTCTTATGCCTTTTCTTTTCTTTCTTCAGCATTTTTTTTTATAAATGGTAAAGCTGTGTTTTTACATTCTGAGTCTGCAGTCTTTTTGTCCACACAGCTGACCTATGATCCACAGCGCTTCCCAAGGAGTCTCTCCTCCACCTTGTTTGGAACCATAGAAGGATTTTAATACAAAGAAATTCTAATATCTCGTTTCTGGCTTTTCTGAGATATAGCTTTAAATGTGTATATGTATATATAAAATTAGGTGGTTTCAAAATATTTGTTGAAGAAATGGAATTAAAAGATAATGGAATTTTCCCACAAACTCTTTGAGCCCCCTTACCTCCTCCCCTATATATGTATGTGTATGTCTTTTTTTTAGTCAATGTTTATGAGCTCTTGCTTTGTCATTCAGGCTGCCTATGTGTTATCCAAATACCAGTACTTTGTCTGTCCAGTGGAGTACCGAAGTGATGTCAATTCCTTCGTTACAGAATGTGAACCGTCAGAACTTTTCCAGCTTCAGAGCTACTCACTTCCTCTCTTTCTACAGGCAGTGATGAGCCAGGTAAGAGTAAACGTTCAAGATAAGCATGGGTGGGGATCCTCCATCCCTCCTGAAGATTAAGGTTCATTTAAAAATAAGCTTTAAGATTTTTTTTAAGAAATCAATGTATACAAAATTTTTGTTATGTTATCGAATGGGTTTTAGTATCTAGTTAGCATCAATAACAATGTTACTTCCATCCTCTTGACTTCACTCTCTGGAATATATTCCAAACCTCTTGTCTACTTGGAATTTATTTGCCTAATGGTTTAAGTACTGCTACTGATAATTTTGGGAAAAAGATGAGACTTTCTGTTCCTGTAAAGGTTTGTAGCCTCAGAAACCCTATAGAGGGTTGCTATAAGTCAGAACCAGCTTGAGCACACAATAATAACACTGGTAACTTATCACACATTATTTGTATTGAAAACATTTCTCAATAGTCCTTAGATTTCTATAAATTAAATGGATTAGACTTGGTTTCAAGTGTAACTATTACGAATGGACTCAATTTGAAACTTAATTAAAATTTCCAACTCAAAGATCCCTTGATTTTTGAGATATTTACTATTATAGAAAACTGCTGCTTCTAAAAATCTGTTTCCCTCCCAAAAGCTCATTTCTGGTATTTAAAGGTACCTTTAAGGCCTCACACTAAATGATGACGAAATGCTGCCAAACAAAGCATTGCTCATTTATGTGAGCAGGACTGTTTGGTCAAAGTGAGGAATCTGAGAATAATGTATGTGTGTGCACGTACCTAAAACATCTTATTTTCAGCTAAAATCCATAATTTTTGAGAAGCAGATTAACCAGCAAGTTCTTTCTCTCCTTAATTGCCTAATCCATAGATTCTGAAGATATTTGTGTTCAGTGTCCAAAGCCATTTGTTCCTCTGGTAGCGTAGTGGTTACGAATCGGGCTGCAAACTTTAAGGCCAATAGTTCGAAACTACCAGCTGTTCCACGGGAGAAAGATGAGGCTTTCTGCTCCCGTAAAGATTTACAGCCTCGGAAACGCTATATAGGGTCACTATGGGTCGGAACCGACTCCATGGGACTTAACAACAACAATAGAACTTGGGGTGTTTTCTGTTTTGATTAAGGGCAAGACTTTTGCTTGTTGAACAGGTCCAGAGAAGAGTGTTCCTTGTCGTGTTTCTTGTGCTACACCCATTAAGCATTCTCTACAATTCGACTTTTAATTTATTTAAAGTAGAGAAAGAGTTTAGAAAATCCAAAGTACTTTGACTGCAGATACCTTCTCAAGTTTTATGATCCTCTCTCTAAATATTTTACTGTTGTCCTGATGCTCATCTTGATCATCTTTATAAACATTCAAAAGTGATTTGCTTGAAAATTATTTCTTAAACATTTAACTTGGTTTTAGGAGAAAGAACTTTTCCTTTATTTCCTCATAAAAAATATACAAGGTTAAAAATATATAATTAAATAAAATACACAGTTTTAACCAATTTTATAACTACAAAAGCAAAGTGCTAATGGTTAAAAGAACAGTTAGAAATGGGCTCAGTGGATTCTTGGTAAACCTATCTATCACTCAGCTAGTGGAGGCAGAAGTTCCTCCACAACCTATAAAGTAGCCCACCCGCCTGGAGAGTTCAGTGTGCTGGCCGACTGACACCAGGATTGTGGAGGGAATGGAGAGCCAAGGTTAAGTAGAAGATGGTCATGGAAGGTCACTATATATATATATATATATCCCCTCATGACTCTCAAAATTTATAAAATTGGCAAAAAGGTGGCAATTGCTCTGATTTACTATGGATATTATGGTCCTGAAATTTGGTGACATGCTCAAACACAGTTTTCATGACGTTATTCCTTTCTTCTCTACTTAAAAAAAAATTTTTTTTTTCCTCTTTAGGAAACAGTGAACTTGTATCCTTTCCAGATACACAGCATTGCCCTTTCTTCATTTGCATCTTTAATTGGTCCTTTTGGTGGCTTCTTTGCCAGTGGATTCAAAAGAGCTTTCAAAATCAAGGTATGTGTGAAATTCCTTTGCTACATTTTTAGAGAGTATAATTAGAGAATGTCATTTGGTCAGAATTTGGTTCTCTGTTGTTTTCACCTCTGAAACCCCTGGTCAAAAAGTTTTGCCTCCTATTTGTTTCAGCCTCACAGAAATGCTTTCTACTTGGCTTGAGTGTATTCTTTCATGTTGATTTTGGGTCATCCCATGTTAACACATTTTAACATGTCACACTAATTGTTTGCTTTGATAGAAGTGACATGTGTCACTTAATGTTGGAACAGATGCTGAATCTTGATCCTTTAAGTGTTCACCGAAGGTTCTAGCCGAGAGTTGCCTGAAGTTTAGTGCTTTGCCATAATCTCCTGTGAAAGTGCATGTGAGAGACTCTTTATGTAATCACCCTTTCTTCTAGATCAGGGGTCAGCAATTTATTTCATAAAAGACCAGAGAGTAAGTACGAGGGGACTTCCAAAAGTTCGAGGAAAAATTCCATTGTCTTTTATTCAGTTTCCCATGAATGCATGTATATTATGATTTGTAAACCATACAGTCTGTTACAATTACTCAACTGCAAACTCTACCATTGTAGCATGGGATCCCCCATAAATAGCAGTGGATGTAAATAGTTAGTTTCTAATGAAGCTGTATTTACAAAAATAGATGGTGGCGAGAAATAAAAGTGTTAAAGGTAACACAGAGGTAAAAACTGTTACATACATATTCTTTCAATATGATCTATGGGTATAAGGAGTCATGGTATGGCGCTGTGGGCTAACGGCACTGGACTGCAAAGTCTGTTGGAACCACCAGGTCGGTGGTTCAAGCTCACAAGCAGCTCCTTGGAAACCCTATACAGGGTCACTATGTGTCACAACCAACTCAATGGCACTTAACAGTAAAAGCAATGGGTGTAAGCATGGATAGACATACAAGCTAAACAGGTATAGGAGGGGAAGTGAAGTATACCCACAAATATGTACAGACTTTGACAGAGATATTTATACATGAGTACTTACTTTGAAGTACTCATGTATAAATATCTCTGTCAAAGTCTGTACATATTTGTGGGTATACTACTTACTTTGAAAGGAGCTCTGGTAGCGTAGTGGTTACGAATCGGGCTGCGAACCTTAAGGTTAGCGGTTCGAAACTACCAGTCGCTCCGCGGGAGAAAGATGAGGCTTTCTACTCCCGTAAAGATTTACACCCTCGGAAACCCTGTACAGGGTCGCTATGGGTCGGAACCGACTCGATGGCACTTAACAACAACAACAACACTTACTTTGAAAGGAGATCTGGTAGCGTAGTGGTTACGAATTGGGCTGTGAACCGCAAGGTCAGCAGTTCGAAACTACCAGTGGTTCCATGGGAGAAAGATGAGGCTTTCTACTCCCGTAAAGATTTACAGCCTTGGAAACCCTGTACAGGGTCGCTATGAGTCAGAACCGACTCTATGGCACTTAACAACAACAACAACACTTACTTTGCAGCAAGTATATATATGAGTGGGGTGGAACACACAGGGGGCAACTTTATGAAAACTTAGACATACCCAGATGCCTTGAGAGAATGAGTTGCTGGGCCTGGGCACTCAGAACTTAGTCTCAGGGGACACCATGGTCCATTGACAAAGCATTCTACCTTGGTAAGTAGTGACCGGAGACTTAAAGCTCATGAGCGGCCAGGAATTTTATAACAGGGGGGTGGTTTGTTGTTTTCTTTATTTTAATTACTAATACGCTTTTTTGTTTGTTTTTGAAGGATTTTGCAAACACCATTCCTGGACATGGAGGAATAATGGATAGATTTGATTGTCAGTATTTGATGGCAACGTTTGTGCATGTGTATATTACAAGTTTTATAAGGTACTTTTAGAATTTATGAAATGTTTCATCAGAGATGTCTTTGAGTTCTTGTTTGCACAGAGATTAGTTTGAATGGGTTAATTTTTCTGTCCAGGGTATTTGATTATATCAGAGTGATACTATGGTCCCTGGAGGTGGGTCACATTGCAGCCCTGAAGAGTATGATTACATTATAATTATTTTACCTATATTTGAGTACTGTACAAAAACAGAGGTTTATGACACGATCCTTAACAAGACTGAGTTAAAGATCTACTTAATGTGGATAGAAAGAGCCCTGGTTGCACAGTGGTTAAGCACTTGGTTACTAACAGAAAGGTCAGTAATTTGAACTTACCAGCTTGGAGGGCTAAAAGACCTGACATTCTGCCCCCGTAAAAATTGTATTTTATGTGCCTTTGAGTTGGTTCTGACTCATAGTGACGCTTTGAACAACAGAGCTAAACATTGCCCAATCCGGTAACACACTCACAATCCTTCCTGTGTTTGAGTCCGTTGTTGCAGTATTTGGGTCAGTCCCTCGCGTTAAGGGCCTTCCTCTTTTTTGCTGACCCTTTGCCAGGGAAAGCCTATGGAGAAGTTCTACTCGGTTATGTCAGGTTGCAGTGAGTTAGAAGTGACCAAATAGCATATAACAGCAGCAACAATATGGATGGTATTGAATTTGGAACAGGCGGAAATTTCATTTCTTACCTTTGGACATTGAAATGATAGTCAGTGATATGAGTTAAGAAGGAGCCCATCAAAATGTATTGGATCCATCAGTTAGTGCTTGAGTGCCTGTTATGTGTTGGGAAGTCCTTAGCACAGTATAAGCAAATACATATAGCGTGTTAAATGGGTATACAGATGAACGAGAGAAAGTAAGCAGACCAGTAGGTGTGGTTGCTACTTAATATAGGATAGTTTCTTTCTTCTTATTTTTTATTCAATTTTATTTCAATATTTAATGTCTATAATGTTCCAGCGGTTCGAAACTACCAGCTGCACCGTGGGAGAAAGATGAGGCTTTCTACTCCCGTAAAGATTTACACCCTCGGAAACCCTATACAGGGTCGCTATGGGTCGGAACCGACTCGATGGCACATAACAACAACAACAACAACAATGTTTCAGCACTGAGTACAACTTCCAAATGCATGTATAGAGCAAAAATTATCAGAATTAAAATAGAAACAAAAGGCCTAGCCTTAACCTACCATAGTCCTAATCCTAATTCCTTATTCCTATTCCCCTCAATTTTTTTTTAATTAAAAAAAAAAAAAATACAACCTTATCGGGAGATTTTAACAAAGCCCTGTTTGTAACTGATAAAACAGGCACACACACACACACAAAATCAGTGTAGAAGATTTAAATTTCACCTAACTGACACATATAAGGGGGCTTTTATAAGTTCATGGAAGCATTACATTATCATTTAATTCCATTTATCCATGAACTTTTTGAAGCTCCCTCATACAATATCCAAAAAACAACTGTAAAATGCACATTCATTTCATGCATACATGGAACCTGGCCAAATAGTAAAGGTCCTAAGCCATAGAGCAAGTCTCAAAAATGATAGTAAATATTGAAATCATAAACAGTATATGTTTTCTGATCACAGTGGAATTAAAGCAAAAATAAAGGAAAGAAAATGAGAAGATCTCCAATTGTTAGGAAATTAATCAGTATACTTCTAACCCATGTATCAAAGAAGATATAATACTAGAAATCAGAAAATATCTGTAGCTGAATAATGACAATACAAATATCATAGCTCGTAGTGTGCAACTAAAGCATTATTTAAGAGAAATTTTTAAACTTAAATGGATATTTAAGTAGGCTGAGAAATCAGTGATCTAAGCGTCTGTCTCAAGTAGCTGAAAAAAAGAACAAATTAAACCTAAAGAAAGATGACATGAAAGATGAAACAGAGATCAATGAAATAGAAAACAAATGCACAGTAGAGAAAATTAACAAAACCAGAAGTTCATTCCTTGAAAACATTAATGAAATTGATCAACTCTTAGCAAGACTGCCCAAGAAAAATAACCACAAGAAGCACTTAGTTGAATTTTTGTTTGTTTGTTTTTAAATTCACTTGACAATTTCTATCATTTTAATTGGAGTACTTAAGCCATCACTACATAATTTATTTACTGATAAATTTGGGTATTACTAATTAGTGAATAAAGCTTTAGGTTGGCAGTTTTTCAAGGGATTAATTCACGCTACCCCCCCCCCCCAACTCTGCTGTTCTTGGTAAGGAGATGCCTGCTGAGCCATGCTCTCCACTATTTGAAAACAAATATTTAGAACTACAAATAGTTAGAATTACAGTAATGATGCCAGGATGCACATCACTGAGAGCACCTGCTGACATAACTTTGCATTTAGCTGAACTTGCTAGAGTAGCCTTTCTGTTCTCTGTGGGTTTATGCTATGAAGTTGCTGAGTCTTTTGAAGGAATCCGAAACCAGCTGTGTCCTGACTCAGTAGACTTTTGGCAACTGAGTAGAGCCATGTGCCTGAAGATACCTCATGGGACCACTGATTCGGACTATTTTGCAAATATTCTAAACAAACATTTCTAGAATTATGATGTCTGTATAGTAGACATTTCTTTCTTGTTGAGTTTTCTACTTCGTATCATTCATTTGGACAGTCTTCATTAGAAGTCAATGTGTGATTACCCAGGTAACTGCCTTTCTCAAAGCACCATACTACTGGGTGTTCTCTCTGAAGTGAACATTGGTCATTAAAATATACGCTTGTTAAGAGGCACCTGTTTCAACCATGCAAGGGTTGCTGATTGCGCACATAGAAAGTTGAGGGTACACACTTCCGGTAGCATTTATAAAGTAACTTTGTCTTTTCTGCTTTTTTATAAGGGGTCCAAATCCCAGCAAAGTGCTGCAGCAGCTGTTGGTGCTTCAACCAGAGCAGCAGTTAAATATATATAAAACCTTAAAGACTCATCTCATTGAGAAAGGAATCCTACAGCCAACCCTGAAGGTATAACTGGATCCAGAGAGGGAAGGACTGACAATAAGGAGTTCTACAGAAAAGCACTGACAGATGCCATTTTGTAATTGTACAGAAAACTGGTTGCAAATGCAATAGATCAAAGTTTTGCAGACACAAATGTTTCTTCTCTGAAATTACTGTGAATATTTAACAAATACTTACTTGATCAAAGTATGAAATAGTAGCAAATTGCTGGCAAACTGTTCTGTAGTTTTTCTAAAGTATATTTTCTGGTGTTCATTTCTTTTGTCTTGCTAGATTTCATAATTCAAAGACTTGTATTTTCAAGAGTCAGACACTATAAAATGAGTAGATTGAGAATGTTCTAAAATTGCACTGACATTGTGCTCTTTTGCACAATATTTACAGTTGCACTTGGAGCTGCTCTTAATTTTAGGAAAATATTTCATAAGAGGCACAACGGGAAGTCTATTATACTTATTCTTCCTCTACTTTTGGTCTGAAGTATTTTTTGAAGGGCTGAGTTGGATCGAAAAAAAACCAGGAATGAATGCCCACTTTTCAAAGAAGTAATTATTTGCCAGGGGGAAGCATTCTACTTTTTAGGTAGGTTCAAAAATCAGGAGAGTAAAATTTCTACTTCTGTTGGCTTGCTCGAAAGAGCAGGCATCAAACTTCTGTTCAAATGTCTTGGAAAACAACATACTTGGACAAAAGATTTTTGAAAAGAGAAACAGAAGAGAATTCTGCTATAACGACTATAATGTGTGGATCCTCCCTGCTGATGTTAGCAGATGACAATAGCTCAGGAGGCAGCAGGAGACAGTGTGATAGATGGCACGTTATAGGGCAAGTTCTCTAATTTACCTTATTTCCCTGTGAACTTGTTTCATATGGTATGCAACCACAGGCACACAGATCAATGCAGGGGATAGTGAGTAAAGCCTGGTGACTAAGCAAAGCAGGTGGGACCAGACCAAGCAAGAGTGATGTGTCCTGGATGAGGCTCCGTGGCCTGCATTCTGGGTGCCTCCCCTGTGGACTCCCTGCCCCTCCTGTTGGAGACTCATCTGGGAGGAAAGAAGACTCACCTTGCGGCCCAACTCAGAACAGCTCCCTGGTGGCAGCTGATCTCTGCCCCTTTGCTCTTCACATCATGTCATGAAATCCATGGACATCGCTGATTATATTTTCTTTCAAAAAATTTAAAATCAAGCGAAAGTGATTTCCACCAAGAACAAAAAAGCACACAAATGCCAAACCTTACCTTTGGTGGATGAGACATTTTATCCAGATAAGATTCAGTTTCTTATAAATGATTGTAAATTAGCTGTGCATTCTCGACAACACTTTTTATCTTATTGAACAGTTGCCACTGACCTTCCCAAAGCTGTTCTGTGCTCTTGGCTCAGTGTTCAGAGGCACGGAATTGATTTTTTAAAAGAAGGCTTTGTTAATAAAAAGAGTAAATATTTTTGTTTAAATCATAAATTTCAATTATTTTATATTTTTGTTCTAATGCTATGCCTAAAACAAAGACCTGTATTTCAAAGAATTTAAAAACAAACAATTGTAGATATGGTTGGGTTCCATGGATGTAATCTATACTCAGTAGCCTCACCATGTGTACTATATGATTACAGTAGATGTAATTAAAAACTAAGTACCAACCATCTTAACTTATGGTCTGGCACTCATTCATCGCCAATGAATTACATTCAGTCAGCGTTATTTCTTATTGCTCCATGAAAATTAAGAATTGGCATTGACAATGTTATGACAGGAAGGAGAGATCACTTTTTAAATCAGTCCACCTAACAAGTGAAATTTTCAACCTCTCTGTCTTTTATTTTCCCATTAATAGCTCCAAGTGTTGACGATGAAAGAATTCAGGATACCAAAGTTTAAAAAAGTACTTCAGAACTTAGTAGTTTGCACAAGTACTCCTTGGAGACACAGGACTAACTGCATTTTTTCTTTTAAAGTAATTGATGAGATATTGTCATACAGAATTATGAGAGCATTATTAAACACATGGCATTATAAAAATATTCTTATAAACAAAAATATGAAGCTAGACATATTTGGGGTCACAGCAATAGCTTTCCTCAAATATACTTTTAGAGCTGGGTGTACATTATTCTATATATAAAGAAGTAAATTCTTAATTTTAACAGCGGTTTAAAGATTGACCTTTTTAGTGTACTTTTATAGCATGTATATTAAAATAGAGTATATTTTAGCAAAGGATTGCCATAAAACCCTGACTTTGATCATTTTTATATTTGCACTGTGAAGAGGACATAAATTCCAATGTAGCATTGTGATGATGATTAAAAAGAGAAATGAGGAACTTCCTTCACTGTACTGGCTAATTGTTCCAAATTTGCTGGTTTGGGAGGGCCCCTGTTTCTTACTTACTGCTTGACTTTTTAACCTGTGGGATGCAACAATGTTTCCTCAGTGCTTTTACCCCTGTGGTGGTGTAATACATTTACTGTATTTTTATGCAAATAATATGCATCGTCTACCTTTATTTGCCAACTGTCCCTCCCCCTACCTGTGTATTTTCGATGCCCTGCTATGCCAATATTTTTCCCCATGTTGCTATAAAAAATTAGCATAGCACATTTACAAAAATACCTCCTGGCAGGGGAGAAAGCAGTTGGCAAACAAACATAGAAGGAGGTATTTGTATAAAAACGCTCTTGAGAATAAAAAGACCATACACACACCCTTTGTGCTAATTCCTAGCACTTTGGTTTGAACAAAGATAGTATCTCCTTGTTCAGTAAACAGTAGAAACAGTGTATATATACTATGTATGGGTGACAGTTTATGTTATGTGTCAATTGGTTCTCTGAATCTTACTGAAGCTGAGATAGGAAAATAAAGCTGAACAAATTGCATTTTGACTTTGTTGTGCCGTTTTCTCATTGGAGCAGAAACATTCATTGATTCAGCTAGTATTTGCAAAACGATGAGGGACATACAAATAGTGTATCTTGCATTTTCCATCATCAGCATCAACAGTGACATCTGCAGGACTTAGGGATAAGACAATTCTAATGGTGATTAAATATCTGTATTTATTAAGAGGTGATGCTTATTAGAAAGAATTCTGAACTGCTGTGGACTTTAGTTGTTAATTACACTTTATTTTTGCAACTCACTGATTAATGTCTTTTCCCCACAAGAGTTCTCAGCTATAGGAAGGTTCAGTGGGATCCATTGCATTCCCAGTGCCTAGCCCGAAGTCTTCACTCTCTGGACACTCAAGCTTCTGAACAACTGAATGGCATGAAGCATGACCTAACTGCTTATATCTCAGCTTCCCACTTGTGTCCGTTGGGCAGCCCCTTCCACCCACCCCCACTCCCATCTCCAGTTTTATTGCGCATGTGCATTATCCCAAGCTAATAGAGTTGATGTTAGGATTGAGTAAACACTCATATGGAAATGCCTTGATTCGAGATGGATGGTGCTGAAGCTTTGGCTGCCAGTCCTGGTGAACTTCTGTACCAGAATAAAACATTTCCCAGACTTGTGGCATCATCAAGATCACTGCACGTTGGAGCTGGTCTCACCAAGGGTCTTCTTTGCTCTTCCTGGAACTCTGCTTCATCAGACATAATGTTTTCCCAAAATTGAGCCCTCCTAGCAGCACGACCCGTGCAAAGCCAGAAGTCGGCTACTGTTCTGTTTTGATCGATAAGGTTTTCAGTGATGAATTTTCAGAATTGTTGTTAAGTGCCGTCCAGTCGATTCCGACTCAAGGTGCAGTTGGTGAGTTTGAACCACTGACCTTGCGGTTCAAACTGACCTTGTGGATCAGTGCTTTTTCCCACAGTGCCACACAGGGACTCCCTCCTCTCTTCCTAGTCAGTCTTATTATGTGTGCTCAGCTCAACTTGGATCTAGAACCTCATTTAAATGAGATATTATTTTAGTACCTAGAATAATTAAATACACCCCTTCTCTCAACCCTTAATAGAATTTCCAAAGAGACATTGTAGAAGGTTCTGTGATTATGGTCCACAGAGGGAAGGCTGTTGACGAAAGGGGTGAGAAGGAGCGTGTGATAGAAGAAGCCCACATTCTGAAGTTATCACTCAGTCCCTGTCACCAGTTTGCTTTAACTTTTCATTGCGAATTGAGTGAACATTTATAGACAGAATCATCAGCTTTACATTCAACAAATCATTCATTTTGTTTCATCTCAGTGATTACAATCCCTTCCCTGCAACGCCAGTTATCCTGCTTCCTCCCTGTGGCTCCCCATTTGCAGCTTATATTTCACAAATGAACAGAGGAAAAATATTTGATGTACACATATAAAACAATATATATATATATGTTGTTGTTATGTGCCGGTGAGTCGGTTCCGACCCATAGCGACCCTGTACAGGGTTTCCGAAGCTGTAAATCTTTACGGCAGCAGAAAGCCTCATCTTTCTCCCGCGGAGTGGCTGGTAGTTTCAAACTGCTGACCTTAAGACTTGCAGCCAGATTCGTAACCACTACGCTACCAGATATATATATATATTCATTTAAATGTCCAAAGGGCACATTCTGCAAGCCTGTCTTCTGGGCCTAGAGTCCACAGCTTCTCTATCTCGCCATGCCGCCACATCCACTGTAACTGCTTTTCTAGGTAGGGATCTCACGCTCCACGCATGCTCTTCCTTCTTGCTGGTCCTGGGACCCTCTGTTGCTGATATGAAAGATTGTACTTTCCCTTTTAATTACATAGCTTCTACAGTTAGAGTTTTGATCATCACGATCCTGTTAACAATTACAATTGAATCATAAAATTTTATCAGCATCTTCCCTCATTCCCTTTCACCAGATCCATCTGGAAAACAGGAAAACTATTCAATGTCTTCCCATATCTTATTGCTACAAGAAATATTTTTGAAGTGATCCATAAGGAAACAATCATCTGCCCGGTTCCCCAGGACCTAGCATGTAATGGACTTGCAAGTGATGCGTGGTGTGGTGCTGTAGAATAAGCTCTGGACCAGAAGGTCAGT